GAACTCCCGGCCTCAAGCGATACTCCTGCCTTGGCCTCTCAAAGTGGTAGGATTACAGGTGCAAGCCACCACACCCAGCATTTGGATTCTTTTTATGTTATATGATTTGTAAGTATTTTCTCCCATTTGGTAAGTTGTCTTTCATTTCTTTGATAATGTCCTTTATAGCATAAAAATTTTTAATTTTGATGAAGTCCAATTTATCTGTTTTTTTCTTTTGTTGCTTGTATTCTTGGTGTCATATCCAAGAATCCATTATCGAATCCAAGGTCATGAAGAGTTACTCCTATGTTTTCTTCTAGGAGTTTTATAATTTTAGCACTTAAATTTAGGTCTTTGATCCAATTTGAGTTGATTTTTGTGTATGGTGTGAGGTGAGGGTCAGACTTCATTCTTTTCCATGTAGATATCCAGTTGTTCCAGCACCATTTGTTGAAGGAACTATTCTTTCCCCATTGAATCATCTTGGGACCCTTGTTGAAAATCAATTGGCCATAGATGTGTGGGCTTATTCCGGGACTTTTAATTCTATTTCATTGATCTATTTGTCTGTCTTTATGCCAGTTCCACATTGTTTTGACTACAGTTAGCTTTGTAGTAAGTTTTGAAATCAGGAAATATGAGTCCTCTAACTTTGTTCTTTTTAAATATTATTTGGGTTATCCAGGGTCCCTTACATTTCCGTATGAATTTCAGGATCAAGTTGCCCATTTTTGCCAAAAAAAAAAAAAAAAAAAAAAAAAGGCAGGTGGAATTTTGATAGGGTTTGCACTGAACCTGTAGATCTATTTTGGGAGTATTACCATCTTAACAATATTAAGTCTTCCAGTCCATGAACATGGGTCTTTCCATTTCTTTAGGTCTTCCCTAATTTCTTTCTACAATATTTTGTAGTTTTTCCAGCATACAAGTCTTGTACTTCCTTGGTTAAATTTATTCCTAAGCATTTTATTCTTCTTAATGCTACTGTAAATTAATTATTTTCTTAATTTCTCTTTTTGGGGGGTTTATTTTGCTTTGTTTTTTTGAGACAGAGTCTCATTATGTTGCTCAGACTGGAGTATAGTAGCATGATCATAGCTCACCACAGCCTCAAATTCCTGGGCTCAAGGGATCCTCCTGCCTTAGCCTCCTGAGTAGCTGGGACTACAGGCACGCAATACCACTCCTGGCTATTTATTTTTTGTAGAGATGGGGTCTCACTATGTTGCCTAGGCTGGTCTCAGACTCCTGGCCTCAAACGATTCTCCCATCTTGGCCTCCCAAAGTGCTGGGATTACAGGTGTGAGCCACAACACCTGGCCTTGTTTTCTTAATTTTATTTTCAGTTGTTCATTGACAGAGGCTGGAAGAATTTTGAGAAGCATGATAGAGAAGGCATAAATTACCTTGAACAGACTGATAGTAGAAATCTAGACTTAAAGGATGCTGCAGGGGAGGGCTCAGAAGAAAATGAAGAACATGTTATTGGCAACTGGAGGAAGGGAGATGCTTGTTACTTAGTGGCAGAAAGCTTAGTGAAATGGTCTCCTGTGGTTATATAGAAAGTATAACTTGGCCGGGCATGGTGGCTCGCGCCTGTATTCCTAGCACTCTGGGAGGCTGAGGCGGGCGGATTGTTTGAGCTCAGGAGTTCCAAACCAGCCTGAGCAAGAGCGAGATCCCATCTCTACTAAAAATAGAAAGAAATTAATCGGACAACTAAAAATATACAGAGAAAAAATTAGCCGGGCATGGTGGCGCATGCCTGTAGTCCCAGCTACTCAGGAGGCTGAGACAGAAGGATTGCTTGAGCCCAGGAGTTTGAGGTTGCTGTGAGCTAGGATGATGCCACGGCACTCTAGCCCGGTGAACACATTTAGCCTTTGTTTTAAAAAAAAAAAAAAAAAAAAGAAAGTATAACTTGTAAGTGATGATCTTCCAATTCATGTGTTGAAAATGAAGCCTAATTTTTTCTTGCTGCTTATAATAAAATGCAGGATGAGAGAGATATATGGGGGGAAAACTATAAAACAAAAAGAAACCAAGACTTGATCATTTTGAAAATTCTCGGTATCTCTACAGGGCAAAAGATGCAAATATTAGACAGAGTGATCTAGAGAAAAAAAGTGTAACTATACAACTTTTTACGCATACTGCAGAAAGATCAAAAGGTTATTCACTCACACAAAGAGCCCTTTCAAGAGATTAAGGTTATATCTCAAAGATGCTCTTAATCAAACCACAGGCAGGGCCTTTAGAAAGCTTAAGAGCACTGTGCCTCAGCCAGCCAAGTAGGAGCTCAAGACAGAGAAGAGATTAGGTGAAAAAATCTATAGATGTGGCTTTTGTCTATGTGGTGAATCCCACTGATATTCACAGGATAGCCACAAAGTGTTTAAGAAAATTATTTCAGCAGAAACACTGCCAACTTAGACTAAGAGGACAGAGTGAGTACAAAATGAAGAAAGGTTGTCAGACCCCCAGAATTCTACAGGCAAGACACAGCCGGATAAAACTAATTAGCTGCAAACACATGCTTTACTGAAAAAAGGAAGCATGATTCAGAGGATGAAACCAGGAGCCCAGAGGATAGAGCAGTGAGCTGGAGAGGATTATTCCCAGGTCTTGAAATTTAATCAAGGAACTCCCAATATTTACCTAGCTGGATTTCAGAATTGCTGTGAACTCTTTTTTAACCTTCCATCCTCCTCCCTTTTAACTGTAATGTCTATAACTTATCCTTCGTCTGTCCCACTATTGTATGTTGGGTGTGTTGGGGTCAGACAACTTGTCTCTTCAGTTTCACAAGTCTATAGATGGAGAAAAATTGTGCCCCATGAGCTGTACTAAATGGATTACATCTAGGAACATAATCCACACCAGGACCCAATTTAGATGATAAGGTTTTGGACTTCTGAGCTGATGCTGTAATGGGATGAGACTCTAGGAAACATTAGGAGGGAGGGGAATGTATTTTGCAAGCGGGAGAACGTGTGTAGTGGACAGACTCTAAGATGGTCCCTGCATGATTCCCACCTCTTTGTGTTCATGTCTTTGTGTAACGCCCTCCCTTTGAGTGTGGACAGGACTGTGACTTGCTTTAGACCAAGAGATAACAGTAAAGGTGATGGGATGTCACCCCATGATCATGTTGTTATATAAGCTTCTGTCTTGCTAGTTAACTAGCTCATAGTCTTTCTTGCTGGCTTTGAACAATAAAGCTGCCGTGAATACTACAGCTACCAAGAACTGTATGCTTCCAAGCATACACAAAAGGAGAAGTGTATCCTTCCCTAGTTGAGCTTCCACATGAGAACCCAGCCCTGGCCAACTCCTTTATGGTAGCCTTGTGAAACCCTAGGCAGAAGACTAGCTACGCTGTTCCTGACTTCTGACTCACAAATGTCTGAGGTATTAAATGTGTATTGTTTGAAGCCACTGTTTGTGATAATTTGTTGAGCAGCATAGTTAAATATATATCTAACCATATAACCCAGCCATTCCACCACTAGGAATTTCCCAAGAGAAAAAAATATATGCCCCCAAATTCCTATACACTAGTGTACATAATAGCTTTTCATATGATATCCCAAAGCTGAAAACAATCCAAATACCTATCCACAGATAAACAGATAAACAAATTATGATATAATGAAATACTTCTCAGCAATAAAAAGGAATAAATTATTGATACACACAATGACACAGATGGATCTCAAAATCATTATGTTGAGTGAAAGCAGCCAGACAGAAAGAGTACCTATTGTATGATTACGTTCACATGAAACTGTACAAAATGCCAACTACGCTATGACAGAAAGCAGATCACTCTTCTTGATCACTTTGGGGATTGGGGCCCAGGCAAAGGCAGGAGTGAGGAATTACAAAGGGCCAACTTTTGTAGGTGATGGATATGTTCACTGTATTGACTATCGTAATGGCTTCTTGAGTGTATGCATAAGTCAGAGCTTGTCAAATTGTACACTTTAAATGTGTCGTTTATCGTATCTCAGTCTTTAATAAAGCAGTTTTAAAAATGTATATGCCACTTGCACATGTTTTTCCTCATAAATCATTATATTCAAAGAAAGCACAAGCTCTGACTAATCATCATAGAATAGACCTTATTCTTCATCCACTCATTTTCAAATATTTACTAAATACCTGTTAGTTTCTGTGGGAAATACAAACGTGAATCAGACCTACCAATATTATGATATAATAATAAATATATATTTGGTCTCTGCCCCAGGCTCCTGGCACATAGCTCTTAAAACCCTTCGAATATCCAAAGTGATAAGTATCTTTTTGTGTACTAATGAAATAACTGGGGTTGAGGGCTCCTGGATAGTCTCAGGATGGGGTGAGGGGGCTAATTGCCAGGGGAACCAACCACGTAGTTAGAAGGTTGGAACTTTTTCATCCCTACCCCTTGACCCTTGACCTCTGGAGAGAGGAGAGGAGCTGAAGGTTGAGTTGATCAGCAGTGGCCAATGATTTAATCAATCATGGCTACAAAATGAAGCCTCCATAAAAACCAAAAAGGACTGGGTTCAGAGAGCCCTGATTTATAGCTAGTTGGTCAAAAACACAGGTCACCAAAAAACAAAAAGGAAGAAGAAAGAAGAAGAAGATGAGAAGCAGCACCGGTCATAAGCTGGGGCTTGCAACTGGCATTTGAAGTCAGGGAGTGGAGGCAGTCTGTGGGACTGAGCCTTCAACCTGTGGGACCCGATGCTATCTCCGGGCAGATAGTGTTGGAATTGAATTGAATTAGAGAACACTCAGCTGGTGTCTGCTAGAGAATCTGGTGTCAGAATTGTTTGTTGTGTGGGGATAAAACCCTATACATCATTGGTGTCATACGTGTTGTGGTGTGTGAGTAGGAAAAAAAACACTTGGGTTTTTCCTATGTCTCATATCCACCTTTTACACTAATGAAACATATAATCTAACATACTGAGGGTTTGGAAATCATAAACAATTACTTTTTACATTGTCTTCAAAAAGATCCTTACCAGAGGCAAAACCCTCCCAATGACTGCGTGTCAACTGCTCCATACAGCCCACAACCTTGCTCCAGACGATGTCAAACACATAAGCAAGGACATCCTCTTTCATGCAGTAAAATGGAACAATGGGAGGATACCCTAATTTCTGTTTCTCTGTAGCTGCTTCTGATTTCTCTCCATGAAATCCCTCTTCCCTGTAACAGAAGCAAGAGGAAAAGACTTCATGATTATTCTTTGCTAAGTCTCCACCGCTGTCCTTTGTACATCTTAGGAATGCAATTGTTGTCCCCCCACCCCCAAAAGCCTCCTCCTTCCCAGCACATGCAGCACATGTGTGAAGCTGCCTTGTGAACTAAGGGAGTTCTCAACAGAGGAGACAGCATTTCCCTTTTTACCCCCACCCCATCCCACTACTCTGCCAAAACATAAAATGAACAAAAGAAATCTGATAACTATTCTACATTTTTAAGCTTCAAATAGATGAACATTGTCAGTTGAGCAATCAGCTGTGACAATTAAGCATACAGAAATAATCTTTTTGTCATAACTGGATAAAATTTAGATTCATATTATTGTGACATATTGAGCAATGTACATGGAACTGTGATTATGCTAAGTAATTATCTTAGGCAATGATTCATCAGAAAAACATTCCACATAAATTATTAAAATTAGTATATTTTTATTAAGCCAAATAAGCATTTGATAAAAGGCTGGAAAGGAAAAGGAAGGAAATTAAACAGCACAGAAGCTCCTCTGTGTCTGTAACCAAGAAACTCTCAGTTAGCCAAGTGCTCCTCTGGCAAACAGCCAATAGTCCTGGGGTTCTGTGGGAAAAAAAAATCTGACTGATAGATGTGTTCATTTATAATAGATACATAAACTAAGACAAAGTAAATTCTGCAACTGGCTTGGGATAGGGAGAAATATCTCCAGGCCTCTATGGTGAAAGTTACTCCTGGAGCAGCAGAGATCTCAAGAACTAAATAGGAAACTGTAGGCAGAAAAGAAGGGTGAAAAGAGTCTCAGAAAAGCAAATGTTGAGAGAATTTGTCACCACTAGATGAGCCATATAGGAAATGCCCAAAGATGTCTTAAACATGGAAACAAAAGGTCAATATTTGTCATCATGAAAACGATTGAAAATGGAAAACTCAAAGGTCTAATAAAATAATCACATAAAGGAGGAAGAGAAAGGGATTAAATGGCAACATGACAGAAGTTCAGCAAACCACAAAGACAAAAAGACAGGAGAAAGAAAGAAAAAGAATTAATAAAACAACTAGAAATCAACTAAAAATATGACAAGAACAAAGCTTCACACATTGATATTAACCCTGAATGTATATGGATTAAATCAGTGGTCCCCAACCTTTTTAGCACCAGGGACCAGTTTCATGGAAGACAATTTTTCCATGGACCAGAGGGGTGGGGGGGATTCAAGTGTATTACATTTATTGTGCAGTCAAACCTCTCTGTTAATGATAATCTGTATTTGCAGCCACTCCCCAGCACTAGCATCACCACCTCAGCTCCACCTTAGATCATCAGGCATTAGATTCTCATAAGGAGCGTGAAACCTAGATCCCTCACATGCACAGTAGGTAGGGTTCGTACTCCTATGAGAATCTAATGCTGCCACTGAACTGACAGGAGGCGGAGCTTATGTGGTGATGCAAGCAATGGGGAATGGCTGCAAATACAGATGAAGATTTGCTTGCTACCCCACTGCTCGTCTCCTGCTGTGCGGCCCAGTTCCTAACAGGCCACAGGGGTTGGGAACCGCAGGATTAAATGCTCCACTTAAAAGATACAGATTGGCAGAATGAATTTAAAAAAACATGATCCAACTATATCCTGCTTACAAGAAACTGACCTTATGCATAAAGACACATAAAAGATACAGATAACTGAAAGTAAAGGGGTGGAAAAAGATATTCCATGCAAACAGAAACCACAAGCAAGGAGGAGTAGCTATACTTACATCAGATAAAACAAACTTTAAATCAGAAACAGTAAAAAACGACAAAGAAGATCATTATATGATGATAAAGGGATCAATTCAGGAAGAGGATATACTGATCCTAAAAATATTGGCACCCAACACTGGAGCACCCAGATTCACAAAACAAATATTGTGAGACCTAAACAAAGAGATAGGCAGCAACACAATAAAAGCAGGGAACTTCAATACCCCACTCAGAGCACTAGACAGATGGAGACAGAAAATCAGCAAAGAAACATTGGACTTAAATTGGCCTTTAGACTAAATGGACTTAACAGACATTTACAGAACATTCCACCCAACAACTACAGAATATACATTCTTTTCATCAGCACGTGGAACATTCTTTAAGAGAGGCCACAAAATGAGTCTTAACAAATTTTTAAAAATTGAAATCATATCAAGTATCTTCTCAGACCACAGTAGAATAAAGTTAGAAGCCAATAATACAAAGAGGAACTTCAAAAACTACACAAATACATGGAAATTAAACAGCACACTTCTGAATGGATCACTGTGTCAATGAAGACATAAAGACAGAAATTAAAATTTTTCTTGAAATGAATGAAAATGAAAACATAACATACCAAAACCTGTGGCATATGGCAAAAACAGTGCTGAGGGAAATTTATAGCATTAAAGGCCTACATCAAGAACAAACTAAATCCTAAGTTAGCAGAAGAAAAGAAATAACAAAGATCAGAGCAGAACTAAACGAAATAGAGACCAAAAAAACAATATAAAGGATCAACAAAACTAGAAGTTGGTTCTTTGAAAATGTAAACAAATTGATAAACTATTAGCTAGACTGAGATCCAAATAAAGATCCAAATAAACACAATCAGAAGTGAAAAAAGGGATATTACAACTGATACCACAAGAAATACAAAAGATCATCAGAAACTATTATGCTATTAACTATATGCTCGCAAACTAGAAAACCTAAAAGAAATAAATGAATTCCTAAAAACATACAACCTCCCAAGATTGAACCAGTAATAAATAGAACTCCTTAATAGATCAATACCAAGTCATGAGATTGAATCAGTAATAAAAAATCTCACAAGAAAAAAAGCTCAGAAACAAATGGATTCACAGCCAAATCTTACCAGATGTAAGAGGAACTGGTGCCAATCCTACTGAAACTGGTCAGTAGACCAAGAAGGAGCAAATCCTCCCCAACTCATTCTACAAAGCCAGGATCACCCTCATACAAAAGCCAGAAAAGGATGTAACAAAAAAAGAAACCTATCGACCAATATCTCTAAAGAACATAGATGTAAAAATCCTGAACAAAATACTAGCAAACCAAATCCAACAGCACCTCAAAAGGACAATTCACCACGATCAGGTGGTTTTCATCCCAGAGATGCAAGGATGGTTCAACATACACAAGTCAATAAATGTTAGTCACCACATAAACAAAATGAAAAACAAAAGCCATATGATCATCTCAATAAATGCAGAAAGAGCATTCAATAAAATCCACCATCCCTTCATGATAAAAACCCTCAAAAAACTTGGCATAGAAGGAACATACCTCAAAATAATAAAAGGCTATATATGACAAACCCACAGCCAACATCATAGTAAATGGGGAAAAGTTGAAAGCACTCCCCCCAAAAACTGGAATGAGACATGGATGCACACTTTTACCACTCCTATTCAACAGAGCACTGGAAGTCCTAGCCAGAGCAACCAGGCAAAAGAAAAGGCATACAAATTGGAAAAGAGGAAGCCAAGTTATCTCTGTTTGCTGATGATACGATCTTTTATCTAGAAAACCCTAATGATTCCTCCAAAACACTCCTGGATTTGATAAATAAATTCAGTAAAGTCTCAGGTTATAAAATCAATGTACAAAAATTAATAGCATTTCTGTACACAATGATCAAGCTGAGAACCAAATCAAGAACACAATCCTATTTACAATAGGTGCAAAAAAAAAAATTTCCTATGAATAAATTTAACCAAGAAAGTGAAAGGTCTCTATAAGGAGAACTACAAATCACTGATGAAAGAAATCACAGACAATACAAACAAATGGAAAAACATCCCATGCTTATGGATTGGAAGAATCAATATTGTTAAAATGTCCACACTGCAAAAGCTCAGGCAACAGAGCAATACCCTCTCACAAAAAAAAAAAAAAGTGGGCAAATGACATGAACAGGCATTTTTCAAAACAAGATATACAAACGGCCAAAAAACATATGAAAAAATGCTCAACATCACTAATCATCATAGAAATGCAAATTAAAACCACAATGAAATATCATTCCATTTAGAATGGCCATTATTAAAAAGTCAAAAAACAATAGATGTTGTCATGGATGTGGTGAAAGGGAACATTTATACACTGTTGGTGGGAATGTAAATTAGCATAACCTCTATGGAAATCAGTATGGAGATTTCTCAAAGAACTAAAAGTAGATCTACCATTTGATCCCACAATCCTACCACTGAGTATCTACGTAGAGGAAAATAAATCATTATATCAAAAAGATACCTGGGCTGGGCATGGTGGCTCCCACCTGTAATCCTAGCACTTTGGGAAGCTGAGGCAGGAGGATCGCTAGAGGCCAGGAGTTTGAGACCAGCCTGAGCAACATAGCAAGACCCCGTCTCTACAAAAAATAAAAAAAAATTAGCTGGGGGTGGTGGCATGCTATGGCTACTTGGAAGATCGAGGCAGGAGGATTGCTTGAGCCCAGGAGTTCGAAGCTGCAGTCAGCTATGATAACGCCACTGCACTTTAACCTAGGCAACAGAGAGAGACCCTGTTTCAAAAAAAATAGAAATAAAAATAAAGATACCTATACCTGTATGTTTATCACAGCACAATTGACAATCGCAAAGATATGGAATCAACCTAAATGCCCATCAACCGATGAGTGGATTATGTATTAAATATATACCATGGAGTACTGCTCAGCCATAAGAAAGAATGAAATAATGCCTTTTGCAGCAACTTGGATGGTACTGGAGGCTATCGTCTTAAGTGAAGTAACTCAGGAACAAAAAAATAAATGCCGCATGTTCTCACTTAGAAGTGGAAGCTAAACTATAGCTATACAAGGGCAAACAGAGTGGTATAATGGACATTGGTGACTCACAAGGGGGGAGTGGGAGGGGGATAAAGGATGAAAAATTACCTAGGAGGGTACCTGAATAGGGTACAATGTACAC